CGCCCCGCCCCGCCACGACTCACCCCGTCACGCCGTCACGGCCAATAAAGCGCGGAGGCCGGGCGGGGCGGGGCGACTCAATCGCGACGCCACGCGACAGCCCCGCGTCTGTCGTCACTCAAGCGCCTCAAAGTGTCCGGCGCGACGGCCGGCCAGAGCTATGACGAGTCACTTGTGGAGGCATCCCGGTCTATCCTTGATCCAACCCTCCTCCAACAATACGCCTGGTCCCCCCTGCACTTCCGCTATGACACCGGCGATGAATAACACCCGGCCTCCTGAGCGCCTGTGGTCGGCGGGTTAGGCCACCCGCTCTACCGCCGTGCGTGGCTGTGGGATGGAATGCCTACCCGACCCCCTGAGCGCCTGTGGTCGGCGGGGTAGACCACCCGCCCTACCGCCGTGCGTGGCTACGGGATGGTATGCCCACCTGAGCCCCTGAGCGCCCGTGTTCGGCGGGTCAGACCACCCGCTCTACTGCCCTTTGATTGATTGAATGGAACGCGTGCCCTTTTCCGAGCTTGTTCGCGACTACCTGCGAACCTGCGAGTCACAAGAAAATGATTAATCTCACCTTGTGTCGTTCTTCTGTTTATATCGCAGTGTAAGGCATTCCTTATTTCAACTAGAATGGCATCTCGGCAAAATTGCGCAGCGATGTGGGGTTGGGGTTGGCCTGGGTGGATCGGGTGGGCCTGGCAGTGGCACTGAGGCAGTTTGCGCGCGCGTGCTGCTTGGATAAACCCCAATAATAAACTCTTTCAAAAGAATACTGCTCGCATGCTTGAGACGAAAGTTAGAAATTGTGTGAGTGTGTGTGCGTTGCGCGTGTATGTGTGCGTGTGTGTGTTTAGAGACTTGTGACGAACGAATCGTGAGTGACACGACGGACGAGGGGGAGGAGGACGGACGTGGGCGAGGTCGAGGGCTATTTTTTTCAACAAACGTTCCCAGCGAGCGGACATTAACAATTTACCCGGGACCCAGAGAGCGCGGGTCGGAGCGGGGCGCCGCCGGCGTCGAGTGCGCGGGAGGGATGGGGGATGGGGATGGGGATGGGGATGGAGGCCAGAGCGCGGGGGGCAGAGCCAGGCAGACCCCGGGAGCTTCAATCATTGATTATATCTGCTGGCGAGGTGCCAGTCCCTGGCGGCCCCGGAGGCCGGGGCCGGGGCCGGGGCCGGGCCGCACTCTCTGCTTTTAACTCACTGATCCGGATCTCCTGCTCCACTGCTGCTGCCGCTGCGCGGTGGCGGTGCGCCCAGCTCTGCCCAGCACCGCCACCCGCACCACCACGCCAGCAGCCGGCACGACACGGACGACCTGCAGATAATGGCCCCCAGGCCATCTACGGCTTAACTTTAAAGCTTTTGCGCCGCTCAAATGTATTACTGCCAACTTGTGCCTGCCAGCAGCCGCCTCGCCATAAAGAAGTATAGCGCCAGCCGCCGACTGTTTCGCTCCGCGGTGGTGGTGGTGGTGGTCTATGCGAAACGGTCTCCAATCGCAAGCCTCTTCCGAGCGATCCGCGCGATACTGGTGACATCATGTTCGGAGAAGAGGGATAGGGTGGGCTCGTGTATAGTGCGCGGAGCTTGCTCGTGAAAGCGCTTGTCACTGCCATGACCGTGTGCGGGACGAGACTGGGCGGGGAGGGAGGAGGAGCAGGGCGGACATTCTAAGCCCCTTCCTCCCACGTGTCGTAAGCAGGCGCCCTAATCTGCATCGCCAGGGGCGGTCATGCGCGTACACAGCGTCCACGTCAGCAGCGCACCGACCCCCCCCCCCCATCCCCTCTCCCCCAAGCCCTTTTCACAGGACAGGACCCGACCCGTAAGTCATGTATTCTGCTTATATGGTATTCTCTAAGGCTCCGCCAGGCTCCGCAGCCACGGCGTTATTTGTTGGCCTTTTAGACTCCCTCTAGCAGCACCACGTGGGGTTGTCCCCAAAACGTCTCACATCCTTCCATCTCCTTTATTCTGTAAACCATATCTCTCTCTCTCTCCTCTCTTTTGTCTCTCTCGCTCCTCCCTTCACTGTTAAAAGCTTACGAAGAAAAATACCAAACCCTTCGTAGGTACGAAGTGGAAGATTTGTAGGTAGCAAATCCTTCGTAGGTACAAAAGTTTTGGGCATTCTGCTTCGTAAGGTTTTAAGTCTTCTCCCTCCGAAACTCCCTCCCTCCTTCCCTCCCTTTATCTCTTCTCTTCTCTTCTCTTCTCTTCTCTTCTCTTCTCTCTCTCTCTCTCTCTCTCTCTCTCTCTCTCTCTCTCTCTCTCTCTCTAACGCATACACACAAGCATACGCTATACAGGTAGGTGTGTACTCACCGGCCCGGTCGCAGGAGATGAAGACCTTGACCTGCTTGGGCGCGGGCAGGGCGTCGCCGGTCCGCGTCCGTCCCCGCAGCACCTCCAGGACATCCTCGGTCGCCATCCTGCCGCCTGTGCAGCCGCTGCTGTAAGAGAAAGCGACCTCATTAAAACCTCATCACGGCAAACATAGCCCCACTCCTCACGACTCGGCCTGGCACCACCCGGCCCCGTCGGCAGCCTTGGCCCAGCAGCATCCTTGGTCCGCAAGCTCTAAAAAAAACCACAAACCGTTTAAAAATGCACGAAAATTATTCGAAAAAAAGTACGTTAATCATCAAAATGAAAATTATTCGAAGCACCTGTCTGTCTTTAAGCTTCATGTTCGTGTTCAGCTTCGTGTTGTGCGATAACATATAGTCAGAATCGCACTCTCATCCTGTTACTGATGTCTTCATTCACCCCTTGTCAGTTTTTCTGTTGCGTAAAAGCCTTTTAACGCTACTGACAACTGTTTTCATCAGTAAAACGAAACAATTTGTATTTTATTTACTGACAAATTGTTATTTTATCAGTGAGCTACTTACAACGATATACGGAATAAGTAACAAATTAGTCAGCCATCCTGCTGCTGCGTAGAAACCTCTATAAGCTACAAATAAATATATCAGTACAGGTCTGCGAGTAGCCCTAGCCCGGTAACCTAAACTTTAGTCACAGTTGTTGAACGTTTCATATACCCGACGCGTCCCGCCCAATACCACAAGGAGGAAAACGGAGGAGAGGGGGAGAGGGGCGGGCTGCTGGACGAGTCCATACTAGTCACACGAGAGGACGGAGGCGGAGGACCGCAGCGAGAATAGGAACGACTTGATGAACAGATCGGTGAGGGTGACGCGCAGCGCTCAGCGGACCCGGTCGCCAAGCGTCACCGTATAAAGCTCCCTCCCCTCTCCCTATTCCTATTCATTGCCCCCCCCCCCCCGCCCCTTTCCTCCTCCCCTCTCCAAGCAGCCCGGACGACCCGGGGATCACTTGCCAAAGCGTTCTAAATCGTTCCGTCAATACCCCGACTGCTGTGCGGCCGGCTGAATGACGGCGAAAAGCAGAACGAAATAGAGAGGCAGCCCCCCACCCTCCCTCTCCTCTAAGCAGAGCAGCGGGCCCTCCTCGCCATCGCCTTCCGCGAAAGCTGGAGGCCGCACTGGGGCCGACGAGAGGCCCTCTAGCGAGCGCTACCACTAATTAAAGGCTTGTAAGGGCCGCGCGCGGAGCCTGGAGGCTGGAGCGGGCTGGAGGCCCCGGTGCAGTGGCGGGGCGGGGGCCCGGCGGGCCGCAGGAGGGCCCGCAGAACGCACAAGGGAGGGGTGGGGCCGGGCGGATACGGCGAGATAGAGCGAGGTGGGGCGGGGTAGGTCCACCCCACAGCGCGGACAATGAGGGGTGCCGCCCCCGGGCGACACAGCACCACAGCGCGGCGCAGTCATGGGGCTGACTTACAGCGTAACGCGGTGGACATTTATGGGCCAGCGGGACGCTATGAAATGCAGCCACTGGGGCGTGACGGGGCGTGGCGCGGCGAGGTGGCTGCTCGTGATGTGATGATGCTGCCCACCCCCCACCC